TGGCGTTTTCGCAGGCAGAAAGAATGAGAGATCAAGGATCAAGGACCTTGACCGAAGATTTGTCATACGTACATTACTTGACGTTTGTTGTTTAGTGATCCGGGAAATTACCGCTGATCTATCATTCGAAGGAATTATAGATAGATTACAATCAATCTCTTTCGTTTGTCACGTTCCGTCCTCATGAATTTTAAGCGATTCTTTTCATACAGCTCCCTTTCCACTGATGATCGTATTGTTTAAAAATACCTACATTCGCTAAATTTCTAATTTTGTAAATTTTCAAAACTCAATATGTCGCGTATAGTCTTTTTTGCGTATTACAATAATATTTTAACGATATTTGGCCATTTGAATAACTACTGCGCAAATTTATGAAAACGACACTAACAAATTTTAACGAAATCTGACGTGTCTCAGAGATAATTGAAAGACATGAATTCACTATTATTTTTCAATAATTAAGATGTCGAGGACTGCGAAGGGAGAAATTAAACTCAGCCGCTTTAAAGATCGACATGATACGCGATATTCCAACGCCTTATCGAGCGGATAAAAGGACGACGTTACAAGTCGTTTCAAATCTTTTCAATATACCTCGCCGTACATCCAACCTTGTCTCGAACAAAGTCCGCTTGATGCTCACCAAAAGAACAGCTCCAAGTATGTGCGGCTCCAACGACTAAGACATAACTTCTCTCTCTCACACGTCACCGGGTTATGTAGCGTCGTGTTCCTCTCTCATCACGGCGACGACGACGACCACGACGACGAGAACGAGGAGAAAAAGCCTCAGGTCGGTCCGCGCGCGCATCTCTCATTCCTACAACGCCCCCGTTCACCCTGTTATTGCGTACGCATCATAAATCCGTTATTCCGCGGACGTGTATCCAGATACACGTGCGCGGCCCACCATCGTCTAGGTGCGACGTAAATTTATCAGAATGTGTGTGCCGCGGAGTAGATACGGAATCCACGTGTACGCGCGCGTAACCACCAGCGTTACGCTCACAGCCGGTCCCTAATATCGTTGGTCACGAAAGGGTGTGAATTATTCGCCCGCGCCGGACGCAACGCGAACACCACCACTATTCTCCTCCTTCGCGCACTATTCGTCCCGGCCCGGTACCTCGGCACGAGATCCACGAGGTTCACCACCTAGGGATAGGCAGGATAAGCAACATAAGTATCGATATTTCGAATATCGATACTCTTGGGTTCCATTATTGATATTTTTATATTTCGACATCAGCCTACATTGACATTTGAACGGAAATATCGAACTTTTGAACTTTTTGACGGCCCATCAAGCTCATATCAGATGACACCAAGAAAAACCATTTTTTTAATTTATTTGTGAAATATAAAGTTTATTTAAATACAGTGGAATAAAATTTTATTCTTGACAAATAAACTAATTAATAAGAAAACTTGGATATTTTTTACAAAAATATATATTCCGTTATCACAGTCAAATTTTTTTCACTAACATACGCCACCTGATATTTTAATATATCGATGCTTTAATTTATGATATGTATCGATATGAGATATCCATATTTCTACTTATTGCTCATCCCTAAAAGCTACAGCTTGAGCGATAGCGGCTCAAACAACAGTGCCCCGTGCCTCTTCGGTACATTCGACACGTAATCGATGATTTAACGTCCATCCGCGGATGATATTCTTTTTATATCGCGCATTCTAGACGGTCTCGCGACACAAGTAGGGCAGTTCACCCATGGGTCATCTGTCAGCGGCTGCTCGACGAAAAATCAAGTTCGCCGCACGAGCGAGAGCTCGCCGTCGAGTATGAAGAAGCGAGTGAATTATTGTCCGCACGAAAGAGAGAGATAAAGAGAGGAAAGTTTGCGGGGAGATTTATACTCGTCGTCGCGCGATTCCGGATGACATTAGATCAACCGTAAAACGCAGAATCTGAATTCTTCGCAAGTTGCTAAATTAACTTCCCGTTAACTCGTCGTGGCTCGGCTCTACTTACGGTGACTTCGCCGGAACGATTTTTATCCTGAGAAAACAGGCACTCTCCGAGGGCTCATCTGCTTTCGCTATTATGTTGTCCTCCCCGCGATTACGCCGCGATTTTTCCTCGCGAAGACGAATGAAACGCGACAACTCAAGTACGCCTTTATCTATCGAAATCTCTTCTTGAATGCGTGACCCTCGATCATACAAAGAACGCACGCTCACGTATGCTAATTTCTCGTGAACTTTCGCCAATTAGTCGCATAATGATATATAACTACGCGCTAACTACTTTCCAAGAAAAAAGTCGCGTGGTAATAAGCAACTTTATGTATATTTACGCTCGAAACGTGTTCGCGAGCTTTTTATAGGCAGAAATTGGATCGCGTACACACACTCAGCGTGAACAAGTGGAAAAGTTTCGTCGTCAAACGTCAGACAGCATGTCGAATAGCGCGTGTACAAAGTGTGTGTGTGTGTGTGTGTGTGTGTATGTGTTGTGTAGTGTATTCGGGACTGTCAATAGCTTTTAAATCAATACACGGCGAACTGCTCATTCCACGTTGATCTGTATGTGTGTTTATCGACGATATTTTCACAGCGTCTTACGAGAGAGGACTTGGCAGCCTTTTTCCTCACGCGTTTCTAAAAGAAAAATTGATGCTGTTCGAAATTCAAACTATACAAATTGCCATTTAAATTTGCAAATATATCCTCATGAAAGAATTTATGCAACGAAAATTCACCATTCGGCGAGTCTTTCACGGAAAAAAGAATTAGCTTCCACAGGTAAACATTAATTAACTAAAATTAATTAATTTAGTTAATTTCTTGATACCTGTATCTAGTTTTTAGCAGCCACAGCTAAAAACTAGATCTGATAACTAAATTTCAGTTATATTATATGGATATTTAATTTCATTTTTCCGTGTTCTAATGGAAGAATGATTACCGTAAACGGCTGCCAGGTGGTTTCGTTCTACAAAGTCGCGACGTTTATCTTGGGCTTTTCTAGAGTCGTTGAATTTATCAAACAGAAATAAAGGTTGTCTAGAGTCGTTGAATTTATCAAACAGAAATAAGGCTATAACTGTGCGAGTAAGCTGTACGCGGCGCAGTCGCGAGTAGTACAAATTTAAACAATGTTTACAGCTCTGACCGTATTAAAGGAGATCATTTGAAATAGGTGGGTTTATGCCGTTTATTTCCATGGGAAATATACCGTAATGCAAAATACATTCGGAGAGTTATAGAGGTAGGGGCGAATGTGGGGCGAAGTTCGCGACACGTCCGTCTTACTTAAGCGATTTAAACTTTTAGCTCGGAGGGCTCATCCTTCGCGAAAGAAACGAAAAATCTTCCGTAAGATCTTCAGGGTCATGCTAAAATCTTGAATGCTTATCCATCCACATGTACTTTTATATCGACTTACATACTGCACAGTAAAAAAAACTTTTGTGTTAAATTTAACACATTTCACATATCCCAAACGGTGCACACGAATTTTTGTGTTAACACATGAATATGTTGAAAAGTAACACAAATATCATGTCAAAATGTCAAAAGCACGACGATCGCACTCGCCGAGTGTCGCAATTATTTTCACGCACTCGATAATGAATTTGGAAAAATTGGGAAGAACTAACAATACCATTCGAAATGGTTATTTCTATATATGCAACTGTTATAGATCCAAAAAACGCGAATACTTATTTTCGTTCTAAAAATTATACGTCCTTTAGCAAGTCGAGTCGTACTTGATGTCACCGTTATTTTATTTATTTTCTTATTTGTAATATTCTACGAGCGATGTTCACAATATGATATATATTTAACCTTTGGGAGGCAAACAACGACTATAGACATTTGGCGAAAATCTTCACCATGTACGAACAACGTTTAAAGGCATTTAACGCTCACTAAAGGCGAGCAACGTCTTTAAGCGACTTCATTTATTAACATTGTAACGTGCGGAAATATTGCATCGACTAGCGCTAACTTTGCACTTGGCTTAACATATACTAAATCCCCGCGTCGTGTCCCGAGTCGAAATTTTAGTTCTACGTTGATCCTGCAAATTCCGTCGAGCTTGAAGGATCAATGAAGGATCTCGAGATATTGGGCTATTGTCTTACCTTGATACTGTAAATAGTTGCTTACTTTGTATAGTTGCTGTTTCCTGCATGATGAAGAAGCTCAAGATGTTACAGAAACTCGAAGCACTCTCTCAAAGATTATTTAATATTCGATTATCTTACAATATTCTGCCAGAATTTAATCTATATTCTTAATTTCAGTCAGATTTTATTTATTTATTTATTTATAGAAATTTATTGATTGTATAAACTTAATGGCAAATAAAGGATACGTGTGAAATGAAAAAATACTGAGTAATCAAATAGAGATATTAGTGGGGAAATGTAGGTAGTAAATAACACATTTTAATCTCATCTCTTCCTAATTCCTTTTCCTTTTCTTTCTTTTTTCTGGAAGATCGGATGAGATTTGAAGCTCTTAAAAGAGCTGTTTAGATGCTGTAAAGAAAAAGATAACAGTTAGGCATCTAATAATGCTGTGTGTGTCTATTAACAGGAATTTAAATTTGGATTCCATACAATAAAAAGGTCAAATAAAAAAGCATTGGCAAATGTAAATAAGACCGTACTCGCGGCCCAATGAGCATTATTAGACATAAAAATCAGCAATTATGATATTTACATTACATTCTAAGGGATAGCCGATATTCATAGTTGTGAATTATTTAAGATCTTTGAAAACATAATTAAAATTACAAACTCATCTTCCATTATTCAACTGTGTATTTCTTGTATAAAATAATATAATAAGCACACTGCAAGCTAACAAATAATCCGAAATTAAGGAAGATATAATGATTTGTCAAATGATGACTCACTACAAACATCGGCTTAAATTTCGACTCGGGTTTTCTCGATTAATTCGTTACACGTCCGTTAAAAACGAAAACTTGCTGTATAGCAAATGATTTGACATACCTTGAAATACACCGATGCCTGTATCGTGAAATCCTGCGCCCTCCATTCTGGCTTCTCGATCCAACTCCCTGGCTGCTCCGTCGTGACACTGACACTGGCACTGGCGCAGATACGATTTGATCGTAGAAACACATATTAATGAACGCGATACCGCCCGATTAAATAATTTAAAAGCCGACGAAATATTTCGATCAATCGATGGGAATAATGAATAACACACCGACACATGTGTCCCGTGTTTACGCGTACTACTCACGAGTACAAAATGTTTTTTTGTTGTGTAGACATAAACGGAACATTCGGGAAAGTGCGGCGCACGAGGGCACATTCGACTTTCTTGAAAGCACGGAATGTTTTGATTGTTATGATCTCGGCATTCAATGATAAGTGGTGCCGGTTGGTAAGTGATGGGAGGGGGTAAACTTACATTTCTCGTCTATTGTTTTGGTATTCTCGTACGTTGCGTACCTCTACGTCTACGGCCGAGTCTAATGACGCCACGAGCCGGAAAAAGACGTTTTTTTTCCGAAACTTTAAAACTACAATCGAGAATAGGCAGTTCTCTCGATTGTGCATCTTTTTACGCCGAATAAAAGTAAAACGTAGCGGTTACCTTATTCGAATTTTGTAGCACAACGCGATTGCGATCGTGAAGTATTGTAAATGCCCTCGTACTAATCAATTTCTAATTAAGTCGGATAAAAAACGCGTAATATCCCTCGATGCGTTCGCTCGCGTGTCGAAACCTGTTATGACGGCAAAAACGTCGTGTAGCTATGTGTGTATGTGTGTTCTGAAGGTCACGTGACCTTCGACGCGCGCCAAATCTTGGGCTGCGTTCCGACATTCACTGCCAGTGCCGAAAATCTATAATATACGTAACGTGAACTATAGATTTTCAGTACAGGCAGTGAATATCGGAACATAAAAATGTATATACATTATTTGTTTGATTATTTAACGTAATGTGCGTTATAATATTTCAGATATTATAATTATTTGACTGTTTAGAACACATTCCAACAGCGTTTATTATGATCCTTCGTGTATTTCGTGTACTTTCGAGACATAACGACCATATTACCACCCACATACATACACACATGCTCGCACGTGCGTTATACACTTAATGCAATGTTTAAATTATTTAACCATGAATAATTCACACTTTTGGGGGCGCCGATCTAGATCCTTCTACTACATTATACCAACGTCTCGTTGGCGAACTCTAACCAGCGCCGAGGGCGTATATTTACTCTCGCACTTTAATTCTTGAATTATTCATGGCCGAGTAACCAAAACAAGGCGTTGTTCGCTCGGCACAAACAGTCGTGGGGACATATTGCAACGGAGATAAGACGATAACTCATACTTGGTTTCCGTGCCTTGCATGTCCGTGGCAAGTGTCGCCCAAATCATACAACGATGTGAGCTATTGCCACCGCATGAGCGCGTGGGCTATCTTGCGCGAAGAGAACTTCATCAGATTAACCACTTGCATTACATTACGAATGCAGTGCTCTTGTTGCTTTTCACCCGAGCGCTCCTCCGTTTCTCACACCGACGTGTCTGACCGCGAAACGTAGATTAAATTCGGAGGCAAGATCCGCTTCTTCCTTTTGATCGTCGTTTAATTTAATTGAAGTGACTGCGATATAATCTTTCGCTTTTAATGAAAGTGGTTCTGACTCCAGTATTGTATCTGCACACACACATTTATACGCGCGCAAACACTAGATTAAACGCGCTGAAATTCAAAAGGTATAAATCGTCCTTTCTTTTCTCTCGCATTGCTACTTGTACGAATTTTTGTAACCAATCCGTAAAGCTGCTGAAAAGCTACATCGAGAATTCTATTATTAATTAATTTAACATTACCACGTTCATTAATATTGAATATTAAATCATGATTTAACATTTGTGGAATAAGTTCATTAAGATATTGCGGAAATTCAGTATTAAGCGGTTTAGTAGCGGTTTAGTAACATTTATGAGCAAGGAACATTTATAAACGTGGTAATTATGGAATTAAAATATCTTACGCAGAACACATTTGTAAAAGTTCAGTAATATATATATATATATATATTTGCAAAAGCTCAGTAATATATATATATATATATAACATAATACGAGAGTTTAATGCTTCTACTTCATGAACAATGCACGAAAGCTAAATTATATATGAATTTGAAATTTTGGATTTTATATTTAAAATTTAAAATATTTCAAATTATTTTTATGATATATGCGAGATAACTTATTTACTTATTAATTCAATCCTCTCCTTGATATATACGCTAAACACAAGTAGGATTATTATTTTATTTAGGCTAAGTATAAATGAGTTACAAGTACTTTTTAACTTAGCTTGCGTTGTGAACAATTGTCTTATAACAAACACGAAGTTTTAAATATGACATTATTATTACGCAAATTAACATCATATCGTATGTCGCATTTATAAAGAAAGAAATATTAAAATACAAGCAATTGATTAATTCAACTCTGCGAGATATAAATATTTTTGATAATTTTTGACAGTGTGAATGTATACACAAAGGTAGACTCGGTCTGAACGTACACAGCAAATCTGTCAGTTATGTTAAACCGTTATATAATAAAAAGATCTGATAGTGCAACAAATGAAAATAACATAAACTGAGTAAAACTTACATGCAGAAACGAAAATGAAAATTACAAATTGATTGTATAAATATCCATACATTTGCACTATAAAATAAGAATGAGACGTAGGAACAAGTTTCAGAAACAATTTAGGATGAAAGATTATCTGTAATCAGACGAGGTTCTATAAATTGCGAAAAAGTAAACGATACTTTTTCATCGTACCAAGAGTCGTTATCCTCAGAGAGAGAAAATTTGCCAGATGGTTGCTCAATCTCTTCCACACCCTCTGTAAATAACATAAAATAGTATATTAATTTGTATTGACTTTCACAATATTGTTAAATTACATCCATATTACGAATAGATACAATTGCACATATATGCAATGTTACTTACTAATTATTTTTACACTATATGTTGCAGTATCTGCACAGGAAGTTAGAACTTCGCCTACAATAAAGTTGGATATCTGAGGTGTGTAATCTTCGCCGAGTTTTAATGTCTACAGAAAAAAAGATGAAAATATATAAATAATATTATAATATAATATTAAGAATATTGAAACTGTTTATATCAAGTATGTAAGTATGTAACTGTTTATATCAAGTGTTTATACTAATGTATATGAGTGACACAAACCTTGAAGCCGATAATATCTCCAACATGTGGTTTCCTAGTCATAACTGGTAAGTTCTTTATTTCCAAATCTAAACAGTTTTTATGAAGATTTGGTTCTTTCGATTTTGTTTTTTTGTTAACCTCTTTAATATAGACATTCTGTTCTGACACACTATTACCATTTTTGGCTTTACTTGAATTTTTGGTACATATTGCCTTTTCTTCCAGTGAGCTTTCCATACTTTCCATTTCTTTTAACGTAGATATTATTGGTGTCAAATTTTCTGTTTTACTAATATCTTTTATCTTTTTTGAAAATGTTACTGGAGTTGAGCTTTTTCCTAATGCTAAAAGTGATGAGAGATTTCTGGATGTTCCTTTGCTTGTGTAAGATTTTACATTATTATTATTAGATACTTCGCAATCTGCTTCTTTCACATCATTATTCTCTTCATCTTCAGAATCATTGAACCGTATATGTTTTCCAGTAGAAATAATAAAATCATCCACAATTTTAGGTTTCTTTGATTTTTTCTCTCTTTTCGCATCTATAGATGATGTATCAACTTGACTATCGAGTTCGCTGCTGACTTGGCTATTTTGGTGACAACTGCTTTTCGATTTACGTCTTCGGATTCGTTTTCTCTTGATAGAATTTGTTGTGTCACCGTTCCCAGTTAAATTGCTGCAATCTGTAATTTTGGAATGTGAATGTGCTTCCATATCATCAACTGCAGTAGCAAACATCACATCTGCAGTATTATTACCTGAAAATAAACATAGTCCATTACTAATCATGTTATAAAATAAGAATCACTGTTTGATTTTTAGTGTAATTTAAGTAAAATATACTAACATGTCAAAACTGGGTCTATATCATTTGCAATATCGTTAGATATATCTGATTCAGTATTTATATTCATATTTATTTTACCACTCTCATCAACTTTAGCATCTGTTGCTTGGGAAAAATTATTGTGAACAGCATTCTTGTTCGTTTCTGCCTTAAAAGAATTTATAAAATTACCAATATTCGATGTAATATCTGATTTAGTTGGAATAACTTCATTGTGTATGCCAGATCCAGGAATCACTCTGTAAATTACAAGTTATTAGTTAACTATATACAAATAATATAAATAGCATTAACAAGTAAATGCAAAATTTAATTGAATGATAAATAATATACCAAGATTTAAATTGAGGAAAAATATTCTAAATGTAATTTAATTACACTTACTTGATCGTTTCGTTTTCAAGGAGAATACGAATATCTTCTACCGGCGGCAGATATTCGCTATCGTGCAGCATCAAATGAAACGGCTCTCTAATGCCGAAAATCTTGCTGATGTGTTGTTTAATATGAATAATATGTTGCATTTTCGTTAAATCAATAAAGATCCAGCAGATCCGGCGCGCATCATTAAAGAACTTGGATAAGTTAACTTTTAGCCGGAATTGTGAACGCGGCATTATATCTTTAGAATTACGAAGCTTCAATACTGAAATACGTGATCGGCGAAACACTAATGCAATTGTAAATCCTTCGCTGTCGTTCATTACCCGGCGTGACCGTGATGGTTGAGCTCGGGTCATGTATTGTGGATCAAAAGTCACTCTTTGCTTTCTCTCTTCCTTCTTCCCTCAAATAGATCGCTTCAGGTTATAGAGGTTGCCAGGGTCTTCCAATATTTAGAAAACGAGGAAGGTGGGGTAAACAATACACAATCGTTGAATCGATGTTCGATTATTATTAACACTTTATTTGAATTATGAATCAGTTATGCTCTTGAACTATCATATCTTAATGTAATAACGTTGTATTAAACGAAAATTTTAATCTCACGTTGATAATAGTCTATTCAATGCCCGATTCAGCCGTGATAACAATGAATAAGGATTCGTCTAACCAGTTGTTGAGTCATCTCGTTTGAAAAAGAACTGTACAACTTGCCGTTGGGTGCAACTGTAACCTCAAATTGTGGCGGCTCAGAACAAAAATTGTAGTGTGTGGCGGATCATAGCGGAAACCGTCGAACTAACAAAAGGGATCGAGATAATGCAGGGACTCATCACATAATATTAAGCTGGTATTACATGCGTCGTACGACATTTGTCGGATGTGCCGATTGGCTGTCGGATAGGGAATTTCTAGGGTTCCTAACAATTTCTCTACATCTTAGAAATGAGGCTGCAAACGCTTTGAAGCGCCGAACGACCATTGCAGCGTTAAGTGGACCTTAGTTTCATATACGAAACTAATCGTATGAATCGCAAATATCGGACCCCTGATTATCGTACGTCGAAAATCAAACGCAGTGTGAATAACGGATTTATCATGCTCTTAAGAAAAAATACTGCTTAAGTGCGTCAGTAACTGATAAATATTCCAATTAACTGGTGATATTTTCTCGGTTATTGACGCGAATTAATCCAACATCATTAATTAATTGAAACTTGAACTAATTTCATCAGTTACTGACACACCTAATTAGTACTTTCCTTAAGAGTGTAGCGGAGATTCGAACCCCACTTAGCCGAGACTCGAATCCATTTGGCGTAACCTAGTATTTTGCGACTCCGCCAGATGACTCCATGTAATCCGTTAGTCAGGATCGCAACTTTGATGTGTTCACGAGTGGCCGGTACACCGGGTTCTAGGTCAATGATCTTGCAATCGAGAAGCCGTTCGACAGCTCGTGAGTGGGAGCAAAGCCCGCGTGCCGCAAATTTTGTAACGGGTGCGCATTCACACCCCATGTTACGGGATTTAACGGGCGCCATTTATCAACTTCAGCAACTTCAGTCGAGGCGATCGTGATCATGGCTCAACCGATCTTGGCTTCCAAAAGTCATAGCGACATAAACCTATGTTCGTTGAAAAGCTGAGACTTCCGCGCTTCTGATGGGTGGGCGTTCGTTCTTCCTCAAGGTATGGATAATCAGCAAAAATTAATTTATATGGAAAATGTAAGACCGACAATGGGCAAACGGTATGAAATCTAGTTCAATTGAATAAAGATATTTTGGTATGTCGCCTATTTCGCATATTTCGTGTTACATCGTATTCCATTTCTTATAATACTGCACATTTTATTCATTAATTTGTAATAATGCGATGATACAAACTCAAATGCTGACGCAACTAGCACTTGTCGCCACACATTTTTTTTTATACAGAGATGGAGGAAAAGACTGCAGTCATTGTTACATGTCTGCATTCATAAGGTAGCTGTATAAGCTTTAGTTACAGTTCGCACAAGTCTCTTACAATGGGATTATGACGGCGTGTATCTCTCGACTTTATGTTTCTTTTCCTGGCCGCTCATAGGAGGATACGCCGAAATATTTATAAGAAAATAACACACTCACAATCTGTTTTATATTTAATTGCTAATACGCTTGTGTCGTCGTCTCATATAGAGCGAACCAAATTTTACCTGCCGAAGGAAATTATACACAACAGGAGTGAAATCAAAAATATATTTCCTTCGAATGAGATAATCGCATTCGGATTATCGCTTCCTACGTAAACAATCGTACATTCAGATGAAACTGTAAACTATGTTGTTGTTTAATACTAACAGAACACCGAGTCAATGGTACACACACATACACATATGTAATTAATTCTTAAAGTTATATTAAAGTGCTTAATCGTGTGTACATCCGTGTAAAATTAAACCCAATGTGGGTCTCAAGGTAGTAAGATACCAACGTCGGAATATTATATTATTTATATAAATGTTTATAATATTTCTCTAACGCTAGACGCGACTAAAATATATATTTTCTTCCTCCTCGTTAATTTACTCTGTAATAACAAAGAGACGTACGTGACTATGGTTTGGAGAAAAAGAAAATAATGTTCGAGCTCACCCGAAGACAAGGAATTACCATTTCGAAAGTTTACTTGTTAAATTTCACGACAGTTATCGACGGCATTCGTTAATATCCCCGGTAAAGAACTTGAACAACGAAATATTCTTTTATTTATAGTAAGCATCAACTACTTAGAATTTGTAATAAACGAGAGTAAAAAGTTAAAAGTAATATTGAATATAATCCAATTGAATATTCATGAAGAGAGAAAGAGGGAGAGAGTAGTACAAGACAAACAGTCAAACACGTTTCTAACACGTATCTAAATGTAACATTAACAAGCACACACAATCGCTTCTCCTACAGTTCGCTGGTGTTTCATGAAATTTAACGGTGTATTGCACGTATATCCATTTCACCAATTATCTAGCACATCACTAACAATTTCTCACAATTTTCGATTCAGGACAATGTTTAATTTGTTGGAATGTATACTATATATATATTCCCATACTTATCGAGAGAGTGTACATACTGAAAGAAATACATTCTATCTAATGGCGTTCTAGTTTGAAAATAAAGTACATTATATGGACAGTATTTACATTAAACTCTTTTCTTCTAAATTTCATTATGAACAATAGCTGAAAAAGTGTCTTACCAATAGAATAATCATCGATACGCGAAACGTAAGTGTACAGACTCACGTTCGTACATGCATTCACACACAAGTTATATGTGTATATATATATATATATATACATTCTCTCTCTGTATATATATATATATATATATTCTCTCTCTCTCTCTGCGTATTTCGTGTATTCAGCATATCGAGATTAAAAATATTCGAAATGTCTAACGTGTCCAGCGCGCTACATAGAACAAGTTGTTTCCCTTTTTTGCCCGATAAATCCGGTCTGCGCGGTCGTATAAAGCGAGACTGCATATTCACTCGCCCGTTCGCATAATACGGCGGCTCTTCGTCTCGTTACCTCCTTCTTTTCGTCGTTATCATTTCCCCTGACATATATAATAAGTAAACACGTTCGTAGGAATAATATTATCAATAAGTTTTAACAAAATGTGTGTACATCCATATACAAATGATAAGGAGATGAAAGATCCAATTCTTACTTTACAAGTATGACTAGTAGACGAAGTCTCGTAATATTATCGTGACGAATTTTACAATGTATATGTGTAATCCATGATAATAAAAGAGCGGGCAGTGCGAAATAACCCTGAAACACGATACTAGAATATACGAACGTCACAATAAAGCTACGTAATTATATAATTCGGAATTATGACCGTTCGTATGTAAATCTCATAGAACGAGTGAAACTGTCGATACAATTTTCTTTAGTTAGATGATAATTGCTCCGATTGCAGTCGAAAGACAATACGGAAGGAAGATCACACGTAATGTCGTATTATTGTTAAAGTTTCGTTTAATGTATCTTAATGCGAATTAAGGCGTAGTAACAAAACGTCTCTCACGTCTTTAACTCCCACGTGCCGAAAGTAAACGATTCCTCCCAACAGATGTTTCGAAGATCCCCATATTTCTTTCCAGTTTATATAATTTTATTTTCTATAAATACGAAGAGAGGTTAACTTTTGCATTCGTAACTCTTACGGCTGTGTAAAGCAACTCGCGTGTACATTCGATCCGATCCGTTCGCTGAAATCAGGCCCGATTTTAACTTTTAATTGAATTTTACTTTTTCCTCGCGCGCGCGAACGGACAGAAATAGTTCGGTTAGGATCGGCGGATAGGATCTTCCAATCGAACCAATCTAATTCTCGAACGACCGATCTCTCGGTCTTACTACAAACGACGTTTCAAGGTCGCGTTTTGCTTCATAACTCTGTCAGTCCGTCTCGTGTTCGTGGCAAAGATGATGGAAAGTAGTCGCTTGCAAGCCAATTGTGAAGGAGTTACTAATAGAATCCGCGATATATCCACGTCTATGAAAGATTCTTTTCGCGTGCTCGACGAAATGAACGGCTCTTCGTGCGATGATAGAAATTGACTCTTTGAAATCGTTCGTTATCTAAACGGACACAGTTATCACAAGGAAGGAAACGAGGCTTGCCCACGGTGCTTCTTTTATTATTCATATCGCCGATATCCTATCGGTTCACTTTGCATTTCATCGACGAAGCAGCGTGTTCGTGTGTTTCCATCAGAGGGGCGAGAATGTTCAGCACGGATCGAATCCGGCTCGAACGAAGACGCACTTATTTCGAATCTGTCGTTCCTCCTGAAACTAATTTGCGAAACGAGATTCTAATACGTTTACACACACCGAAGGAAGTTTCGCGAGACGTGCTCCTCGGACCGACGAAACACGGTTCGCGTAGTCGCCGAGAACGTTAGAGATCCAGGCTCAAAGTTTCCAAATTAGGCAGAAATTCGGTTTTTACACGCGCGCTGCACTGAGAAATTCGTTTAGTTGAATCAACAAAATTCTTGCTTGGATATGGGCAAACAAATGTTTCGGTTAGAAAAACCAAAGTCTGGTGGACCAAGGTTTGGCTTCCTTGATCAACTTTTAATTCAGAAAAGCAAATCTTACAAGTAAACACTTGTTAACCGATGTTCAAACAAGAATTTTGTTGATTCGACTAAGTTAAGTTTCTCAGTGAGTGTATTGCGCTTAATTCCTCCCATGGCGAAAACGCCATTGCTCGCGCAGATAATCCGTAAATCGATGCGGAAATGAAAGAAACGACACCAGCGACGAGACCTCCTCGAGTACGCGCGTCCCCGCTCCGACTCGCTCGATGACGAGTATCGATTTACATCCGCGATATCCTCCGCACGCGTTCTAAGTAGCCGCGAATCGGCATCCATGGTGCGTCCACGATACGCGACGAGACGACCCTCCCGAGCTAACTAACCACCTGTCGCGCGTCGCACCTGGACGAGTCTCGAACGCGAAAATTCGATCTCGTTAATAGGTCGCGTTGTGCTCATTGTCGCGGGATTATCGGGCGAGGGAGGGAAGTCTCTCGCGAGAAGCCCGCTCTTTACGACAGGATGCAGGAGTTCCTCTTGGATTCGGAGCGCTCGCGAATCTGTTGCAGATGTTGCAGCTGAGCCGCAGATGGCACGTGGGTGCCGCTGCTGCGCGAGTTTATATGCTGCGGAGGCGGCAGGGATTGTCGACGGCGACGTTGCAGAGCCGGACTGAGATTGTACTTCAGCTTCGCTTGGATGAGCAGCTCCTTAAATACTTGACTGATGTTGAGGTTCTCCTTCGCGGACACCTCCACGAAACCGTTCTCCCATTTCATGGTCACTAGGTCTCTCGTACTCTCGGACTCCACCTGCAATTCGTTCTCGTTGTTGCATATATACGTTAAGCGGGATCGCACGCGATGTGGAATCGTGAGCGCGTGGCCGATCGGATCGATTTCATTTGCATCTTTGGGCGCAGCTCGTGCGATCTCGTTTCACGTTGCATATGTTAAAATGTTTGATTTACAATTCGATTTCTCGTATTTTTCGGCGCAGCTAAATGCCACAGTGAAGTTTCCGTGTTGTCGCATAGTCGTGTGTGTGAATTTGCGAGGGAGACCGGGGCAGGTTCGAAAAACATTTCGTTCATACATTTATCGTGAAAGAAAGAATGCGAAAGGAGTCGCAAAATATTCCTTTCAGAATATAAGTACGGGTCTCCGATTTTCATTCAAATCGGAAAAATATTATAGTTAACAGAAAGAAAAATGTGAGAGCAGCCGAGTATGTCCTTTGCGGAACAATAAAGACCGGAATTTATCATGATTTTTTCCACCTACTGGAATTTTCCGGTCAACCCCGATTTACACCCTTACCTAGTTTTAACGATGTCTATATAAGTATCTGGCATAAAAATCTCGGAAACTGTTTGAATAATAACTTTCATTTTCTCTTGGTGTCGTGTGGAAGAATTTGTCATTTCTGGTGTCAGATGAATATTTCAAAGTTAAGTAAACGCGATTTCACTCGATAATCCTTCCGGAAAAAGAAAGTGATTTTACGAATCTCGAAGATTACGAGGGAAATTGAATTCGACGACCATTTTATCGCCGTCTAGACTCACCGCTTGTTTTGCTTCTACGAGGTCGACCTTATTACCGACGACCACGATTGGTACAGCGCCCTTCGTGTTGAGTATCTGGGCTCTAAGGGTCTTCACCTCGAGGAAAGTATTGGAATCGTTGACGTCGTAAACCAGAATGAAGGCGTCGGCCGATTTGATAGACAAATCTCTCATCGCTGGGAACTCGTACGAGCCGGACGTGTCCAGGATGTCGAGTGTCAAGTGGATCCCGGAAAGGTTGAAATCGCCGTGATGCATCTCCTCGACGGTGCGCTTGTATTTGGGAGTGAAGGTACTGTAAAGGAACTGATTTATTATCGCCGACTTGCCGACCTTCGCCGCGCCCATCACGACGATCTTGTGCCGAATTGAACTCTCGACCGACTTTCCGCCGCCGTTGTCCGACTCCGATAGCCTGTCATTTCTGAAATAATACATTGTTTTCACCTATCCGTCGAGATTTATCCGAGGTGCATCATCGCCGATTTAAACAATTCTACATCGAGCATGAAAATTCAGCGATAAAATTGATGCGAATATTACAGAATAGCAAAGTGAATGTTCTAATTCTAGTAACAAAATAACCTTATTATGAAAATAAATTAATAAATTATTATAATAATATATACGTATTAAGTACATAACATTTATTTTGTTCGAAAGTTTAAACATTTCGGATTCTATTCCAGTACTGATTAGTGACACATATATATGTTAACTATAAAAGATATCTTGTTATTTTTTTCGTTCGTAAAATATTCTTTAATCTTTCCTCGATTTTGCCAGTACGATTTCAATCGTCTGAAGTTTTACAATTTCTGACAAACATCTAATGTTTCTGATAAATATCTGAAAATTTAATTTTGAGATATTTGACTGCCGAATACAGATAAATTTGAAAAATACACGAGAGTTTGCTACGGAAGAGAGGTGATATATCGAGTTCTTATTTTGGCGTGACAAAACGAAAAACCAAGAGTAAAGAGTGTATGATGCAACGAGTGAAACGATAGAAACGATAGAAAACGCGCTACACGGTTCAGCGAAATGATACGAGAACAACACTCGCATTTTGTGCATTTTGTCAACGTTCCTCGCTACGATGCTCAAGTCTCTCTCTCCCTTTAAACAGATATAAATCACCGCGAGTATTATGAAGCACGACAAGGATTGTTATTAACGGAAACGGCGGGATACGATCTCTCCTCATGGGATGACAGCGGAAGCGAAGATACCACATTCCGTTTAAGGGACAATCACCTGAGGAAGAGAATGCTGCTAATGAACGCGAAGGATCTTCCGCGATACAGGCGCGTGTTATTGAATAGCTGGTTTTGTATAGGGTGTCCTGAATTCTATGGCACTATCGGCGCCTGAAGAGCGGCGGGCTCTCTTATGAACGAGTCGAGGCAAGGCCATGCGGCCGCTTTTATACGCACCAGATAGCAGCTGCCTCTAAGTATCTACGTCTTCTCGTAATCATCCGCGCTTATTACGAGAAGTCAGACGCGGTTATTACCGTGCACACAAAAGCGGAAAAGCGAGCATCCCCTTTCGCGTGGGTTCGCCGCGAAATTAAAGCTCGGGCTAAAATCCCGAGAGCCCGATTGCAACAAGAGGTTACGCGCGAGGGGAGAACCGCGCGTGATCGCGTGGACTCGAGCGAGTTTCACGCTGAAAGCAATTTCTCCGCTGCGCGATTTATTATTACGAACGCGAGGCGAGCCGCGCGCCGTCTCTCACGCGTACGTATATGGACTTAAAGTTTGCCTCAGCTATCGGCAAAATATAATATCGAAAATCGAACTCGCTCTCCACACGTGTATCTGCATATTGCCCCAAAGAACACGCTTTCCTTGGAAAGCAGATGACGGTGCACGATGCAAAGGGCCGGCAAGATTAATATCGATCCTTTCACGTGTCATGAAACTCTCCGTCTCAGAGGCGAAAGACGCGAAAAAGCTCATTGCGATTGTCGAACAGCGCGTTCTATTGATTTCTGCGCCAACGGCTCGATCGACTAACGGCAGAAAGATAACAAATTTTTCATCCTCAGTTAAGTGTGAACAGGATGATTCCTAAGTAGACACTATGAATTTAACCCGAAAATAGTCACCTTATTTTTTTTTACACAAACGATCACTTGAGGTACTTATTCTGTTTTTTAAACTTTGACATCCTGTATTTTACAAATAAAGCACTTTAGAACATATGTTCATAGGATTTTTTTAAACAAACCAAGGAATATCCTCTTAAAATTTTTATATATACTTAGAAATCACTCTGTATGTATGTAACACAATAACACAATATGTAACACAATAATTCTTTTCGCAAATCACAAAATCTCCGACGTTACCTGACATTCTTCGTCGTTCCATCTTCTTGTCCCTCTTTCAAGGGCGACGAGGGTTGCAGGCTGAATCGACGGCGAAACTGAGGACGGCCCTTCATCATTTGTGCCACGGGATTCCTGCCGACAAGAATTCACGCGCGTGAAAAACGACGTTGCTCTGTGTTACCCCGTCGCGAAGAACTTACGTTAATAAAGGTTCTCGAATTTAATTCTCATCCTCCCCTCCGAAATATAACGCGTATTGTAAATTTCTCCTCTTATCCGTGCGGACGGAAATTTATTCTTAGCGGTCGGAAAAAGTCCTCGAGCGATGGCAAGTTGATAAGGGTGCATCGGGATAACCGAGTTCCGTCGTTTCTTCAGCTTTATTAACCCTGCATCACCGAGAGCGGCAGCGAAACGAGAAAACCGATACCGCCTCCTCTCGAATCTGCCGTCCGCACGGATTTAACGCGTAAAATACGGCCAACGCTTCTTACCAGACCCATTAGTGGACTATTGAGCGATGTATTATGCGTTTGGCAAACTCGCTGGGTCACAACGTCCAAAAAGACGCACGTTGGCACGGTGATCGCGGTCAAAACTTTCGATCACGCCCTATTCGCCTACATAAAGAGAAGCAGAGACGGGGGAAGTATAATCGCACGCAATGAATACATTCGATTGATACGACAGCTGGGTGAAACATTGCCGTCGATAAGGCTCGGTTAATCGCATATGTCGCGTTGGATATCGATCGGCATGATTGGTGATTTTAACGCGAGACATGCTGCAAACCAAACAGTGAGCGATACGACGCAACGTGCTCGATCACGTTTAAGCCATCGGGCAAATGCAAACTTGATAAGCGTGGCCATCCTTGTGATTAGAACGGCGTCAAAGGACATTGGCTTGGTTTACACGTCGATCGTTTGATACGTGTGCTAACTAGTAACTTTCGATCAGATTATCTTGATACGGACGATGCATGTAAACGTGGGCGTACCAAGCTGATATAATATACATCAAAACGTAAAAATTGCTGAAAATTCCGACTTCTTTTCTAATACCTTCAGCCGATTGTCGTTGTTAACACAATGAGCACATGGAATACTTTTTGATTGAAACAGGTTGAGGATATGCTAATTGAACATTACCTATCATAAGAACTATAAGAACATGACTGTGAAAATTGAATAGATGGGTGTGTGTCAGCAGCAATTTTTAATCTAATATCTATTTAACTTGAATTCATATAAATTTCTTTTCTAATCATAGAACCTGTAATTATAGCAATTATAGCAGTTTTCTCGGTGTTATCGGTACTAATTTCTCGAGACCATTTGAAGAATCACCTGTAAATCTCGTTGTTCAATCGCATCTCCGTAGTCGCGGCGAAACGTACGAGCTGAAAACCGCAAACTCAAAAATATCCCGAAGCTGTGTGAGCGTCGATTTGAAGTAACGGCCAATTATCATTGGAACATTTACCCTTGCGGCGCGGTTAATCTCGAGATGATATGAAACTTGACATCAAAGAATTCGCCGAGGTATGTTCGTAACACTGTTACATGATGAAATATATGCCCCGCGGGTTAATAACTGCAGCATCGCATTTCGCCGAGTGTAAGCCATTTCCGAGCGCGTATGTGTGCGTGTGTATGCGTGTACGAGCACACAGAACTGAGAGACCCCGGGCGATACCTCTTTTCCGTTTTACATCATTAATCTTTTGTGCTCCGCCGCAAAGTTTATTGAATAGCCGCGGCACGGCGAGACAGCAGCTTAAGCTGCCACCCTAAATAATCGAATGTACGTGTTCGACGTGTAAAGCGCGGCACGTATCCGCGCAAGAGTTTCCTTTCATCCCGCGACCGCCCCATATTGCTCCGCAGAAGCGTGAACAACACTGATTGAGGAAGTAATCAAGAGCCCTGGAGAAATCCTGGAAACGGCCGTTCGTTCTCATCTTATCCGTCGCGCACAGCTGTTCCCGCGCGTCTGTCGACATGCAAATTTTCACAGGCGGACAACGGAAGACGGATCGTGTGAAATCGCGTAGGAGACGGATACCAGAAGGCCTATTCTGCAACTTGTAATGATAGCGTCGTTATCGTCACGTTATCTTTGCGTATATATGATATATATAGTGGAAAATTTGTGTATCGACAACGTAACGATACCCCGAGTCGAAATATTGATACTGCTCGGACGTTCTTAAGGATAAAGCGAATGTTCCAATTAGTGACAGTGTCCTAATTTCTGACAATCGCATCTATTTTCCTTAATAAGTCAGATAACACATCTCCATGTTAATCTTAGAAAATATAGTTTTATTTAAAATTTTATATATTATCCGCTTGTTTTATATAATTATATATTATCCACAAGTGTTGAATAAAATAAAAAAGTATAATTAAAAAAAGTTAAGAGCTATAATAAATATAAAAGTATTATAAATATAAACATGTAAGATCAAGACTTTGACTCAGGTAACGACACGTCATTAAAAGTTATAAAATAAGTCAGCAGACCGGTTACGACAGCGAAAAATCGAGAACATTTACGAGTTTGGCGGAGCGGAATTGCGAGGGAGACGATAAGGAGCTGCTGAAGCGGGGCACCTGCGTCGCAGATCCTCGCGTTATCGACTCTTGCGATGTCCCACGCGATACCAACTATTTTTCACGTTCTCGTATCTTTTCTTCTTTTCGTCTTTTCAAGCGCTGATATTCTTAAGTTATACCGCAAAGTGCTATATTTTCAATGACGCGTTAAGGGGACTGCTTATAAATTTAGTATTTATCAAGCAAGATTACGTTTCTATGTATTTCTTTCACTACCTAAATAATAAATATTAATTTTTGAAACGAAATTGAGATAGACATGTACACATAATATTACAAATACGAGAATATTATTTTTTATTTTTCTTATTAATGCTATTTTTATGCATTGTTGATCTAAAGATGAATAGATAATAGAAAGAGGTATACAAGTGTTCAAATATATGCATATGTATTTCGAGTATTATTATAAGTTACGAATTTTACACCGCTGTATTTTCAAAACAAAATGATCAATAATTCTGAGACTTTTATACGTCTCTATATTAGTATTTAATATCACAGTAGTTTTTTATTTAAATGTGGTTTAGGAAAAATTAAAAATAGGACATTAATATCAAGGAATAAAAAGTGTTATCTTTAATTGCGAATATCTCAGCTCCCGAATGGTCAATCACTTCTAATTGCGTGAATAATTATGTCATATTTAAATCTATATATAGTGCAGGTTTCAACGAATTTTTAAGACACTCATTTTGCGTTACAACTACCTTAACCTTTGCAAGGAAAAGTAGGGATCATTCATGTCTCTTGCAAGATCTTTCTATATTTACTATACCATTATATTTGTGAGAAATATATTTTTGCTTATTGTTCCGTATGATTTTTGTGTCCTTTCGTTGTTTTAATCAAACAGAATGCATATTCATATATTCGGGTCACTAAAAGCCCCACCTTTCTGTTCACGTCTTGCTACTCCATCTTTTCTTACGAGGGTTAATATCGGCAGTAAGAGGGACGCGTTTGCGCGCGTTTTCGTAAGTGTTGTTCTTTTGTTGTCCGCCACCGCGCGGTAGAGATGCTTTTCAATCTCTCACGGGAACGACCCGGACGATTCGACACGGATGAACAGATAAACCGGAGGGTCTCTCTTATCAGTATTTACCATGGACGATAGCCGTAACGTAATTTCCGATTGAGATAACCGACGTCCGTGTAGTACACGAGCGACTAGTATCCGGGATACTCCGCCTCGTGAAGGAACGAACGCGATCGATAGGCGACCGCCGATAACTGCTACGCGACGGACTGGAAACGATATCGCCGAATCGTCCACTAACTGACTTTTTCTCGATTGCCAATAACGTGTGTTTGCGCGCGCTGGGGCTGGCCGGTCGATTCCACGCAACCGGACGCGGATTGACGTTCAAATATTTCAACAACGCGGCTATTAGATTCCGCGCCTACAACATCGGGAGGATCGTAAGATCGCAATACCCGGTCATACGGACCGTCGTTTGCTACCCGTCGGTCTTCAAACGTGCATTCTTGTAAATGGTTTGATCGGTAGGATCCGAGATATTACATTCCTCCCGATTGTTGCCTTACGAGTCCCCTGGATAGGTGAAGTAATTGAAAAAGAGAAAGAAAGAGAGAGAGAGAGAGAGAGAGAGCAGGAAAATTGAAAGCTATATTAATGTCTCATCCGTGGCGTGTCTGCAGACAAATCATTCTTTCTTCCTCATTCAATCTCCTCGGCGGCATTGTTCGAATTCGCGGAACCCGCCCCGAATTTACCGTCTGGGAGTACTCCGCGCATCGAGAGGAAAAATTACAAGGGTTTCCCCGAACATTGGCGATCCCCTTTTTCTGTACAAAGGCCCGTTCAATAGCCTCCTCCGTCCGGCGAATCGCACGCGAGCAACAGCATAGACGGTATGCCGGGTATTTCGCCGATCATCGGAACGCACAATATTTGCGTTATGAACGATTAGCAAATCAGTCACGTTCAGCGGCCAGCAATCTCGTGTACTCTTCTATGCACGGTAAATTCCGTTTATCAAATACAATGTATATTAAACCAATTAAACATAGATAAGAATATTTCAAGTAAAATCATTGACCACACCTTGAGAATAATTAAACAATAAGATAGAAGTAATAAATAATATATCTTTCTTCACTATATTTCTGCAGTCAGATTTCCCTGGATGAAAGCAGTCAAGCACCGCTATTGGCAGACTTTTTCTCAGCGAAATTTTATTGATTTACAATTCTATATTCATAACTGTGATCCGCAGTGACCATTGACCGCTTTTCAGTGAAAAATACACTGCACTTTAGAGAGTAGATCCGCTTGATCTCCGTTACTCTGGCGCGACCTGCCTTCGAATTATATTTAGAAGATATTCTCGATTTCTGCCATCGATCAGTCGCCGTCGCATCGCGTCCGAGAGATGCGTTCGATTTCCGCTGCCAATCCACCGTCATGTTATTTCTGCAGAGACTCTGCACACTCCGGAATGTGAGCCTCAATGCGAACGTGGCTGATAGCAATCCTCCGCAATGTGG